TTTCCTGGTTCACCACCCCTGATTTTATCCGGGAACCGTCAGCCAAATAAATATTGAACCCTTTCTGTTTCAATTGGAGAGGAATACCCTGCTGGTGAGCAAACTTAATGTCCAGGAAGCAGCTGCATGCCCCCGAATCAACTATGGCCGACACTTCCACGGTCCTTTCCGGAAGCTGAAAGGAAAGGGGCACCACTAAGTATTGGGATGGACTAACATTGCCAATGGACAAGGAAGAAGAGGTGCACTTACTCAGTTTCTGCGGGCAGGATCGTACCATATGACCAGCTTCGCCACAGTAGAGGCACAGGTTCTGGGATCGTCTGCGCTGATGTTCCTCTGGAGATAGTTTAGGCCGCGCCAGGCCGAGTTGCATAGGTTCAGGGATATCTCCAGGTGGCCGGTTCTGGATGTTTGGCCTAGGTGCTTGACTGGGCCCTTGAAATGGCCCCCAGGGATTTCCATGACCCTGGCCGGACCTCTCAAACCTGCGTTCCCGCAGTCTACGGTCAATCTTAATAGTCAGTGCAATTAAGTCCTCTAAAGTCTCAGGCACCTCCACTCGGGCGAGCTCATCTTTCAGGCCTTCTGATAGGCCTATACGGAACTGATGCAGGAGAGCAAACTCGTTCCCAACGTGTGTCCCCCCATCCAGCGCCTAAATTCAGACGCGTACTCCTCCGCCGCTCGGCGGCCTTGCCGGAGCGTGTACAAAGTAGCTTCAGCAGAAGCTGCCCGCTGTGGGTCATCGTATAGGATGGCCATTGCGTCAAAAAACAAGTCAACCGAGCTAAGGTGAGGGTCATTTTTTCCCCGCGCAGTCGGTGGGCCCAGTCTTGGGGTTCACCCTGCAGGAGGGAGATGACGAACCCCACCTTCACGGATTCAGTCACAAAGGTTCGTGGTTGCAACTCAAAATAGAGGAGACAGGACTCACGGAATGACCTGAAGCGTGTGCGGTCCCCGTGAAACCGTTCCAGTAGGGTACTCGGGGTTCGGCCGCCGGGAGTGGGGCGGATGCCCCAGAAACCGGTACAGGGGCTGCTACGGCCGGGGGTGCGGGGACCGCGGCCTGTGGGGCAGAAACGGATATAGTGCAGGTCTGGAAGTGATTCTCAATCTGCTGACATCTGTCCTGCAGGGCCGATACGGCCTGCGTCAAGTTAGACAGGTGCCTGCAGATCTCCTCAAGCGGTGAGGGCCCTCCTCTAGACTCAGTCATGGCCTTCTGGTACTGTAAGGGACCGCCTGGCGGTACCACTAGCACTCCACTGAGTAGGCGCCCCCCAGAGTCTAAGTCCCAGGGTGCTTGTTCACCAGGGCCCCTGATGGTGGGGATGGACTTGGAGCCCCCTGAGACCAGGTCGTGGCTACTGGGTGCGTCCGTCAGTGGTAGTGGTATGCGCCAAGGGCTCCCACGGGGAAGAGTCTGATATGAGGAGGTCAGCAGACCCCACTGCACGGGATGGATGGATGGATGAGCAAGGTCAGACGGGCCGGGTCGGTAACAGAGAGGACGGCAAGGTACAAGGCAGCGGGCATAGAATAGTCGGGTCACACGCCAGGTCAGCAACAGCAGGTCAAATCCAATAGGGGGCATTCAGGAGAGAGGTCAGGCAAAGCAAGGGTCTGGGCAGGAGAAATACAGCAAGGTCAGGTACAATCCGGGTCAGCAACTTACAATACACAGGTTCACGGATACAGGATACAGGTAAGACCAGAAGGCACTGAATGACAGCTCAGGGTCGTTTAAATATCCCGCCCTGCGCTGCCATTGGTGCCCAGCGGGCGGCCGCGGCTTCTACTGCGCATGCGCGAACTCGAACGCCGCGGCCGGCCCGGACCCAGTGCTCGAGTCCCTGCACAGGGCGGCATACTGCGCCTGCGCCGGGACCATCGCGGCGGGGATCGAGGGGATCCCTGACACATGACTTCCCATTGTCCTAACTGGTGGCTTAAAAATCCTCATCAATACACCTGCTCAGCAGATCGCCAGCTCATCAGTACCCCTTGTAACTCTGCTGATCCCCCGCTCAGTAGCAGCCCCCAGCTCTGCCGATCCCCCGCTCAGTAGTAGCCCCCAGCTCTGCCGATCCTCCGCTCAGTAGTAGCCCCCAGCTCTGCCGATCCTCCGCTCAGTAGTAGCCCCCGGCTCTGCCGATCCTCCCGCTCAGTAGTAGCCCCCGGCTCTGCCGATCCTCCGCTCAGTAGTAGCCCCCGGCTCTGCCGATCCTCCGCTCAGTAGTAGCCCCGGCTCTGCCGATTCCCCGCTCAGTAGTAGCCCCCAGCTCTGCTGATCCTCCGCTCAGTAGTAGCCCTCAGCTCTGCTGATCCTCCGCTCAGTAGTAGCCCCCAGCTCTGCTGATCCTCCGCTCAGTAGTAGCCCCCCAGCTCTGCTGATCCTCCGCTCAGTAGTAGCCCTCGGCTCTGCCGATCCTCCGCTCAGTAGTAGCCCCCAGCTCTGCCGATCCTCCGCTCAGTAGTAGCCCCCAGCTCTGCCGATCCTCCGCTCAGTAGTAGCCCCCAGCTCTGCCGATCCTCCGCTCAGTAGTAGCCCCCCGGCTCTGCCGATCCTCCGCGCTCAGTAGTAGCCCCCGGCTCTGCCGATCCTCCGCTCAGTAGTAGCCTCCGGCTCTGCCGATCCCCCGCTCAGTAGTAGCCCCCGGCTCTGCCGATCCCCCGCTCAGTAGTAGCCCCCAGCTCTGCTGATCCTCCGCTCAGTAGTAGCCCCCAGCTCTGCTGATCCTCCGCTCAGTAGTAGCCCCCAGCTCTGCTGATCCTCCACTCAGTAGTAGCCCCCAGCTCTGCTGATCCTCCGCTCAGTAGTAGCCCTCAGCTCTGCCGATCCTCCACTTAGTAGTAGCCCTCAGCTCTGCTGATCCCCTACTCAATAGTATCCCCAGCTCTGCTAATCCCCCCCCGCTCAGTAATATCCCCCAACTCTGCTAATCCCCTGCTCAGTAGTAACCCCCAGCTCTGCTGATGCCCCACTCAATAGTAACCCCCAGCTCTGCTGATGCCCCACTCAATAGTAACCCCCAGCTCTGCTGATGCCCCACTCAGTAGTAACCCCCAGCTCTGCTGATGCCCCACTCAGTAGTAACCCCCAGCTCTGCTGATGCCCCACTCAGTAGTAACCCCCAGCTCTGCTGATGCCCCACTCAGTAGTAACCCCCAGCTCTGCTGATGCCCCACTCAGTAGTAACCCCCAGCTCTGCTGATCCCCCACTCAGTAGTAGCCCTCAGCTCTGCTGATCCCCCACCAAATAGTATCCCCAGCTCTGCTAATCCCCTGCTCAGTAGTAACCCCCATCTCCGCTGATCCTCTGGTTTGTTGATACTCCTCTCTGTCCAGTCCCCGCTCACTTACCACTATATTGCTCCAATGCAGCACACCGATGTTTGACATCTGCTAGCTTTTCCCACTCTGGTGTCCCAGCTCTGCTGATCCTCCACCTTTTCTTCTTTCTTTGGTTGCCGCTTCCATGCTGCTCACCACGAGTGTTATCTGCTATCTCCTGCTGCATCTCCCCAGCTCTGCTGATCCTCCACTGCTCAGTCCTTTCTCTCTGTTCCCAGCTCACCTTCCGCTATAGCATTTCCATGTTCCCACCATGTGTGCCATCTGCTAGTTGCTCCACTATGCTCTGGACCCTACTCACCTTACTGCTGCTCTACCACTCTGCATACCAGACAAGATGTCTGCACCAGACACACCCAAAATATATACACATGAATTGGAAGCAGGGGCGGACTGACCATTTGGAAACTCGGGCACTGCCCGGGGTCAGTAGGGGGCCCCATGAGATGCCCCTGGTACCTTTTTCATAGGTTTTTTTGAGTTTGGGCAAGGACACAGGGGCCCCATGATCCCCTATTGTCCGGGGGCCCCATGAGTTGTCAGTTTGCCCCTGATTGGAAGTGAATGCTGATGACACCTTTTCCATTCTCTTGTTGGTTTCCCAGTGCATCCTGGGATATCTCATACCTGCAATACCTCCAAAACAAAGTAAAGCTAATGCTGAATGAAAAGCCCCTGAAATGCTGCAGGTGCTGTTAGTGATCATAGACTTCTGTGGACGCTTCGAAGCACCAAGAAAGTGACATGGGGTGACCACCTAGTGATTGCAAATGTAACAGTAGAGACAGGAAAACCCAAAATTCTCCTAGCTGGACAGGAGCAAGGCCGGGAACTAGGACAGAAAGAGCCTATTGCTGGAACCCTGTGAGATATAAGAAGCCAGCACATGACTTGGCCAACAAACATCTCTTACAACTGAAATATAAGGTGCTGGCCCTTTAATTTTGTTTGACACAGGCATTTTTTTCCCCCAGGTTCCTCAGAAGTCTCCTACAATAAAACGACTCCGGGCAAAATCAAGCAGGAGCCTCCCTTGTTTGAGGAAAATAACTTTCCATGTGCCGGCATTTCCAAACCATCATACCACGCAGAGGCAAACAGTCGATTAATGGAGAAGAGGATCATGTCGTGTCTAGGGAGGGCGCCGAACAACAGTGGGGGATACAAACGGGCACTAAGTGCATCCAAGCCGAAGCCGGAACATGAAGTCGGTGGAGAAGAAGATGTAACCGATGGGGATGTCTATGTTATGCCAGAAACGATGCGTCTGTATAAAAATGTTTTGCCGGATTTTTGTGAGAAGGAACCTCATCCAACCTCTGATGGCTGTAGACCTGAAGATCCTCCTTTCACCGAAGAGGAATCTATCCCGTACAAGAAGGAAAACGTTGTGGATGGTGACGGGTATAACCTACCGGACACGGAAGAGGACAGCGGTGAGGAGAGCGGGTCAGCCCACCTGGAGGAAGACCCTGCCATAACAGTCATTGAGTATGATGGGTTGTATGGCTCCACTTATTCTCCAGCATCCTCGGGCCAGAGGCACCAGGCATGTTTCGCCGTGAATGCTGATCTGACCAAGCACCATCAGCACTCCCTCCTAAACTTTGACTGCGGGAGCTGCTCAGCCAAAAACTCCATGCTGATCAAAAACGAGAAGCAGCTCTCCTGCCCCGACTGCGGCAAGACCTTCTCCGCTATCTCGCACCTCATCCGCCACCAGAGGATCCACACAGGGGAGAAGCCCTTCGCCTGCTCCGACTGCGGGAGGAGCTTCAACCAGAAGGCCACACTGATCAAACACCAGAGAACGCATACGGGGGAGAAACCCTTCATCTGCTCTGACTGCGGAAAGTGCTTCACCAGCAGCGCCAACCTCACCCAGCACCAGCGGGTCCACACCGGAGAGAAACCGTATGCCTGCAATGTGTGCGGGAAGACATTCCGCAGCAGCCCCAACCTCATCACGCACCAGAGGATCCACACGGGGGAGAAGCCGTACTACTGCGTCATCTGCGGCAAGTTCTTCACCAACAGCTCCGTCCTGGTCCGGCATCAGAAAACGCACACCGGGGAAAAGCCATATTCCTGCAACGAGTGCGGGAAGGGCTTCATCCAGAGCTGCCAACTCAACAAACACAAGAGGGTGCACACTCTACATTGACCCCCCGACCTCCACCAGAGGTCTAGCTAGTATCTAAATTGGGTGTTATCAAATGGACTTGGGATTCTGGGACTTTCCTCTGCAAAACCCGAAGGGGTCATTTAATGGTTAACACCACTCAAAATTGATGCTTGAGTGGAGGCAATGGTGGATTGAATGACCAGTTGGCTTCCTAATGTCCGGGAGAGTCCATTGGTGAGATTTCCCCACATTGATGGGATAGAATTGCAGTGGTTTCTGTCTCCACCCCTCCCACAATGGTGAAAATTCCCCTCAGTGTCCTTGCTCCTCCCCTCACATCATTGAGGATGCTTCCAGGGTAGGTGACCCCCATCATTTGGTTCTGTGGAGAATTCTAGGGGGGATTTCACCAATGGAATCCCTGAAAGATATTAGAAGCCGGTGGGGAGAGGACTTCCCAGCAACTGCGCAAAAACTGCAACATTAATTTTAGGTACAGTGAAGGAAATGCGTATTTGCTCCCCTGCTGATGTTGAATGTTTGCCCACTCACAAAGAAATGACTGGTCTAAAAAATCGAATGTTCGGTGTATTGTAACACTGAGAGACAGAATATCAACAACAAATTCAGCAGAAATGCATGTCTAACAAATGATGACTGATCTGCATGTTCATGAGGAAAATAAGGATTTGATCCCCTATCATTCAGCAGGATTTCTGGCTACCAGGTGTCTTTCATACAGGTAACAAGCTGAGATTAGAAGCAGTCTCTTAAAGGGAGTGCTGCTAATCTCATTTTGTTACCTGTATAAAAGACACCTATCCACAGGAGCAATCAAACAATCAGATTCCAAACTCTCCATCATGGCAAAGACCAAAGAGCTGTCCAAGCATGTCAGGGACAAGATTGTAGATCTACACAAGGCTGGACTGGGCTACCAAACTATCGCCAAGCAGCTTGGTGAGAAGTGACAACAGTTGGTGCAATCATTCACAAATGGAAGAAACACAAAACAAGTGTCAGTCTCCCTAGGTCTGGTGCACCATACAAGATCTCACCTCGTGGAGTGTCAATGATCATGAGAACAGTGAGGAATCATCCCAGAACTACACGTGAGGATCTTGTCAATGGTCTCCAGGCAGCTGGGACCACAGTCACCAAGAAAACAATTAGAAACACTACGCCGACAAGGACTGAAATCCTGTAGTGCCCGCAAGGTCCCTCTGCTCAAGAAAGCACATGTCCAGGCCCGTCTGAAGTTTGCCACTAAACATCTGAATGATGCAGAGGAGGACTGGTTGGAAGTGTTGTGGTCAGATGAGACCAAAATCCAGCTCTTTGACATCAACTCGCCATGTTAGGAGGAATGCTGCCTATGACCCCAAGAACACCATCCCAACTGTGAAACGTGGTGGAAACATTCTGCTTTGGGGGTGTTTTTCTGCTAAGGGGACAGGACAACTGCACCACATCAAAGGGACGATGGACAGGGCAATGTACCATCAAATTTTGGGTGAGAACCTTCTTCCCTCAGCCAGGACATTGAAAATGGGTCGTGGATGGGTATTCCAGCATGACAATGACCCAAAACACACGGCCAAGGCAACAAAGGAGCGTCTCAAGAAGAAGCACATTAAGGTCCTGGAATGGCCTAGCCAGTCTCCAGACCTTCATCCGATTGAAAATCTGTAGAGGGAGCTGAAAGTTCGAGTTGCCAAATGTCATCCACCGAACCTTAATGACTTGGAGAGGATCTGCCAAGAGGAGTGGGCCAAAATCCCTCCTGAGATGTGTGCGAACCTGGGGGCCAACTCCAGGAAACGTCTGACTTCTGTGATTGCCAACAAGGGATTTACCACCAAGTACTAAGTCATGTTTTGTGAAGGGGATCAAATCCTTATTTCCCTCATGAACATGCAGATCAGTCATCATTTGTTAGACATGCATTTTTGCTGACTTTGTTGTTGCTATTCTGTCTCTCAGTGTTACAATACACCGAACATTCAATTTTTAGACCTATCATTTCTTTGTGAGTGGGCGAACATTCAACATCAGCAGGGGAGCAAATACGCATTTCCTTTACTGTATAGGGAGCTGGCGGGGAGGGGACTTCCCAGAAACCGCGCGAAAACTGCAACATTAATTTTAGGTAGTTTTAATGGGATCCGACACTTCTGGGAGTGTCAATTTCCAGAGTCCCCCCCCCCCCCCCCGACTCTAAAGTGGATTCTCCGTCTGCCCATGTGTCATTGGAGTGAGGGAGGAACCACTAAACAGTGTGGGGGATGGACCCTGGAGATGGACATTCCCAGGAGTGGCTTCCCTTTTGGCTTGTACCGGATTTGGATCCACCTGCTTCTCCTACATTCACCCATATTTATTTTGCTGTCGGGTGAATGTGGCGGGGGACTTAGGCGGGTCAGTGAAAACACTGTGAATACTAAGGCAATTCCCTGTTTGGGCGGATCCCTTCTGAAGCGAAAGTGCTCTGCGCATGAGGTCAGTGCTTGGTTGGCCAATCGTTGCTGAATCTGCCTTTTGAACCTCTATAGCCCCACCCCCGCGGTTCACTGAGTGCTCATACAAGTTTTTAAATACGGAGTGTTTTTATGATCAGGGCGGAGTTTATTTTTCTTTTAGGTTTTTGTTTAAATTCCCTGAACCCCCATAACAAATCCCTCCACTCTGAATCAACTTTGTTTTTAGAAGTTTGTTACCGCATGTCAAATTAATAAACATCCAGAAAAAAATAAATCGTGTGGTTTATAGAGGACTCATCATGGTGGAGATATACGGCGTTTAAAGGATCGCTCCACCCAAAGGTGATGTTTCAGCTGTAGATGGAGATTAGAGGGAGGTTTCCTTCTATGCTGTGGATTCCCACCTCTGGTCCTGTCCATAATGGGGGACCGCGGGGCTACCGCCCCTCTGTATAATAGACGGGGTCATGGCTGGGCTTCGTTGTATGGATGGCAGTTCAGTCCTCTTATTGATGTCATCCCTTTAAGCCCCGCCCACTCTGCTTGGGAGGGCATAGTGTGACCATATCATCACTGTAAGCCCCTCCTACTTTGTGACTGCTCTGAAGAAATGATGTGATCACTTCAAGTCCCCTTCCACTTTGTGACCATTCAGAGGGGTAATGATGTGACCACTTTAAGGCCGGCCCACTTTGTGACTGCTCAGAGCACTATAAGTGGGGCTTATAGTGGTGACATCATTACCTGTGAGTGGGTGGGGTTTTTAGTGAGATGACATAATTGCCTGTAAGTTGGTGGGGCTTATGGTGATACCATTACCTGTAAGTAGGCGGGGCTTACAGCCATCATTACCTGTAAGCAGCCACAAAGTGGGTGGGGCTTATGGTGACTGAATCATTACCTGTGATTGGGTGGGGCTTATAGTGACCTATTTCTCTGAGTGAGTGGGGCTTATGGTGGACATCATTCCCTCAAGTGGGGGGGGGGGGTTATAGTGATCATTACCTGTGAATAGGCAGGGCTTATAGTGATGATATCATTCTCTGTGGGCAGGGCTTATAGTGATGGCCTCCTTCCCTGGGAGTGGGTGGGCCTTATAGGGATCATTACTTGTGAGTAGGCAGGGCTTATAGTGATGAGATCATTCCCTGTGAGTGGGCAGGGTGTATGGTGACTACATCATTCCCTGTGAGTGGGCGGGGCGTATGGTGACTACATCATTCCCTGTGATTGGGTGGGGCTTATGCGGACTACATCATTCCCTGTGAGTGTGTGGGGCTTATGGTGACATCATTCCCTGTGAGTGGGTGGGGCTCTTAATGATGTAACCATTTTCTCTCAGCAGTTGCAAAGTGGGCAGGGCTTATGATGATCACATTGGGCATTATATTGTGTTAAAATCAATTACAGTGTACTTCTGCCAAACAAGGTGCGCTGCACAAATACCATACAACATAAAAACTTGCTACACCCACCATTTTATTCTATAGAGCCTCTGCTTAAAAAAAAAAAGAGAAAAAAAAATATATAACAATTTTTCATCATATATATATATATATATATATATATATATATATATAATAAAATGATGACAAATTGTGTATATATATAATTTTTTTTTATTATATATACACAGTGGGGATCGAAAGTTTGGGCACCCCAGCTAAAAATTTGTATTAATGTGCATAAAGAAGCCAAGGAAAGATGGAAAAATCTCCAAAAGGCATCAAATTACAGATTAGACATTCTTATAAATATGTCAACAAAAGTTAGATTTTATTTCCATCATTTACACTTTCAAAATAACAGAAAACAAAAAAATGGCGTCTGCAAATGTTTGGGCACCCTGCAGAATTTATAGCATGCACTGCCCCCTTTGCCAAGCTGAGACCTGCCAGTGTAATGGATTGTTCTCAATCATCGTCTGGGAAGACCAGGTGATGTCAATCTCAAAGGTTTTAAATGCCCAGACTCATCTGACCTTGCCCCAACAATCAACACCATGGGTTCTTCTAAGCAGTTGTCTAGAAAACTGATGCTTAAAATAGTTGATGCTCACAAAGCTGGAGAAGGCTATAAGAAGATAGCAAAGCGTTTTCAGATGTCAATATCCTCTGTTCGGAATGTAATTAAGAAATGGCAGTCATCAGGAACAGTGGAAGTTAAAGCAAGATCTGGAAGACCAAGAAAAATATCAGACAGAACAGCTCGCAGGATTGTGAGAAAAACAATTCAAAACCCACGTTGGACTGCACGATCCCTCCAGAAAGATCTGGCAGACACTGGAGCTGTGGTTACACTATTCCACTATAAAGAGATACTTGTACAAATATGGTCTTCATGGAAGAGTCATCAGAAAAAAACCTCTTCTACGTCCTCACCACAAAAATCATCGTTTGAACTTTGCAAATGAACACATAGACAAGCCTGATGCATTTTGGAAACAAGTTCTGTGGACCGATGAGGTTAAAATTGAACTTTTTGGCTGGAATGAGCAAAGGTACGTTTGGAGAAGAAGGGGCACAGAATTTAATGAAAAGA